AAAAGGACTTGTGTTCATGGGTTTCGTTGAAACATTAAATTGATATGGAAAATCATCCAATAAGAATTGCATCATGAAAACAACATCAAGTCAAAATTTACAATACCATGCTTTGAGTTAGTAATTTGATGATTAAGAAGCTAATAACAGAGAGATGCAAATTGCCTTTAAAAGAGAATGTCTTTTGTTAAGCAAACATGAATAACAGACCAAGTAGATACCTACTGTAATATAAACTTCACATGTAATGATTTCATAATCACCAGAACAACACTCCTAATTCAAGATCATAAAACGTACCTTGGTCAGTTGTCGTGTGAGGAACAAGAAGCCCATTTTTGTTCCCTATTATGTCAACACATTAAAAAATTGTCATACTGATGGAAATTGGAGGCATCTTAAAAGCCTATAAGTTACATGTGAATGAGAATGCACACCAGCACATAGCCGCCCTATAATTCTAGTGTCTCCAATTGAGGTCTTAACCACAGGAATAACATCAGCCAACTCCGCCTCAAAAGCACTATAAGAAACACAAGAAAATCATAACCATTAGATAAATGGTTGGAAGAGTGCTGGCAAAAGATCAACATTGCAGAAAAAACCCAAAAAAAAAACCTGTAGAAATTTTCAGATCCTCCAATTGCAACCAGGCAATATGCATTTGTGAGCTTGGAGAAAACTCCAACCTCACATGAATTTTCAAACTGAAGTCCTGCATTTAGTAAGATATAGTAACTGAGTGGTATGCCGATTAAAATAAACAAATGTGAAAAAGTTCAACAGAGAAGAAAAATGAAATATGCAACTCTGAAACAAGATAACATGCATAAACACTCCAAAAAACAGAAATAAAGAGAGTAAGGAGAGAGAAGCTGCTAATAACATACTAGTTGCCATGATATAAAGGAATATGTCCAAGCACAAGCGAAACCTGCAGTAGCAAGATGTGAAAATGGATTAAACAATTAAAAAACATGACTACCTGAAGGGCAATGTAAGAACATTTAATCAATCAAACCAAGAACAAGTGCCTAAAAGAATCTTTAAAGCCTAACCTAGAACCGATTTGCATTCATATAAACCCCAAATCTTGATACCGATTGAAGTAACTACTTAGAAGCAGAATCATAAGCACCAAAATTCAATAAACTAGAGAAATTAATCAATATTGAATCACTCTCTAATTTTCTTGAGCATTCAAAGAATATGCTGAAATCCATCAAAAAAAAAAAAATCCAAACAGCAAACTCAGAGACTTAATTTCATCAAGAAGACTTCCATGGTATCCTCAGAGTTCATCACATACAATATTCAAAGATATTAGAAAAAGATTCGATAAAAAAAGAAAATGAAATTGCGAAAACGAACCTTCAGCAGCAAGCGAGACCGACGATGCTGGCACTTGGTGAAGAGAGAGGAGAGTATATAGATGTCTGAATCTGTTGATTGTACTTATAGAGTAGAGTGAGAGGAAGAAGACGAGAGCTTGTCAGGCACGGAGAGGGCGTTCCGCAGAGGAAAAATGGGAGAGCGGCGATAAGGATGTGGAGAACTTGAGCCCCAAGTTTTGGGGTTTCGACTTGGGGCACAAGTCCTCCACGTGCTGACCGATTATATGTATTTACGTATTATAATGTGAATATGAATTTATTAAAATGTATTTATCTAATTAATAAAAAATATATAAAAATAAATATATATTGGTTAAAATATTATCATTTTCTATTTTTAGAAATATGAAGACAGTGATTAAGTAAATTAATTAATAAAAATATTACATTTATTTTTTACATTCTCAAAATCATTTTTTAAAATTAACATAAAAATTGGAATAAAAATTCTTGAATTTATTAATAAACACTAAATAAATAATCTTAAACATTTTTTCAACAAAAATATTTTCAAATGATTTTTTTTTAATTTCTTCACCCTTTTATGTAACATAATAATTATCTTTTAGTGTATAAAATATTTTTGTGGTATTAATAAAATTATTAGTTTACTTATTTATTGAATTAAAAAATTATAATGTTCAAATTCCATCTTTTCCTTTTTTACTATAATAATTAACTTCAAATAAAATTCAATCCCGCCCCTTTTATCTATTTATAAAAATTTTCTTCTTTATATCTACTTTAATTAAATAAATTAATTATTTTATAATAAATATTTACTTAATATATAATAAATTTATTAATATTAAATTTAATTTAATCACATAACTTCTACCATACACTAATAAATTAAATTCTCCCCACACAACTATGATATTTTTTATTATTAAGTTAGAAAACAACAAAATCGCATGACTCGAAAATTTAATTTATTAATATTTAAATATTGGGTTGCTTTTGTTTTCTTTTTATTTTTTTTCAAAAAAATATAATTCGTAAAAACATTTATACATGGAAGTACTAATAATTACAATTAAAAAATAATTTATTATGTTCTAATTATCATTATCTTGAAATTTTAATTTAAAGCAAAGTATTTCGATAATCTCACACAACAAGATGTCATTTATATTTTTAAGGCAAGACACATTTCATATACCTGCAATCTAGCCTTAGCTTAGCTTAAATTTACATCTTTTTTTTGTAATAATTCAGTACCTCCTATATACATATATATATATATATAAATTCACATCCCCTTAAATTGGAAAACATGATCTAATCTGTCGATGGAAAGCTTAAAGAATCATAAAAAAGGTCCCAAATGAAGAACAAAGATGATTTAAAAATACACTCAAGGATAACACCACCAAGCAACAGGAGTAGTTCTCTCAAGGTTTAACAAGCAGCTTAAATCTACATTTTTAACATACACTCTACAAACTCCTTTATTTCGGTATACATGCAAACAGCAAAGTCAAGGAGTCGACTCGCGGATATCAACAACAAAGAAACTCGTTTTTTTAAAATTTTTTTCTTCTATGAGAAATTAGAAAGAAACCTGGATACCAAGCAACGCCATCAACTGAGAAATGAACTCGGGGTGTCCTGGCCAAGCTGCTCCGGTAACTAAATTTCCATCTGTGAAGCAGCGATCAATTGGATTAGGATCTAACCAGGTTGCCCCTGCCAGGACCACGTTAAGCTTTACGGCAGGGTATGCAGTGCATTTCTTTCCCTGTGGCACATGAAACAACTAATATA